TAGTTACAAATATTTCTTAAATAATATAACTTAGGCCTACGCCAACCAGCCTAAGGTCATCCTAGATCCCAGACCGTTGCCCTACAATTTTGAGTAAGGGTGGACCCATGCTTATGGCCTCCAGCTTAGGACAGACTAATACACAGACATTCTATCTCAGCGTGGCCTTCGTGTGGTGATCCAGAGAGACAACGCTCACTGTATCCATGGTTCGTGCCCACCATCTGAGGATCTGGAGGAGCTCTACAACCTGTGATAAGTAGCCTTGTACCTTGCATGTAACATATGTTGTAACCCTTTTTGGTGTAATGAAGTTTTAAATAAAATAAAGTTCAAAACTACATAATATAAAAGGGGTGGTAGGAGAAGACAATATGTGAGTGTATGCGGGTGCCTCACTAGGCTCCCCAGCATGCTGCATATCATCTTTTTTAAGGCCGGGGGTCCCTACAGAAGCAACCAACCACGTGGTCCAGGAGATCGTCAATTTACGTCGAGTTAGGTCGGGAGTGTGTGATGGGTGGCTGATAATATGCGAGAGTGTCAGTGAATAACTTCTGAAGTGATAATCAGAGATAAACAAAGAGTAACTTTAGAAGGTATATCGTGTGGTCATATTACGGGGACATACCTGTGTTTCTTATAAGTTGTTCAATGTCAACCAATTTTTTTTGACTAGTTGTATAAGAAAAGGGCTACAAGTGCTTCAAGTTTCAGTACTGAAGCGTAAATAGAAAGAAAGATTTTTTTCCCCGAATTTCACACATTTTCAAATCGAAACTACAACCCACAAGTTTCAAACGAAATCATTTCTATGACACTTTTCTATCACATTTCTATGACACTTTTCTATCACATTTCTATGACACTTTTCTATCACATTAGAATATAATAAAAAGATCTGTTTAGCAGATTTTTTTTAAATATGTTTAATTTTACTAATACAAATAGTCAAAGTTTCATAAAAAAATTCTGCAAATAAATCATGGTTTATTACTATTATAAAATAAAAAAATGAACTTAGGAAAAAAATCTTTTTACAGATTTGTAGAGACATAAACTGTACATATAAGGTATATGTTTCAAGTTACTTGAAATAACTAAGAAAACATAAAGTCTAAGGTACTGCCATCTGTGGCTGAGGTTAACATCAACCAATTTCCTGGCACCCTTGGCACCCTTACAGATAGGCTTACGTGCAGTCAGGTGTATAAGTTTCATGCAAATCGTTCGATAAACAAATAAGAACATTTTTTTTTTACTAAATTTGTTTTGGATAAAACTAATTATTAAATATTTTTATTACATGCTATTGTTATAGCTGAGAGTCACATGCATGATTTCAGTTGACACTTGTGTTTGATGTTAGTGTTTGACAATTTTGGAAAATTTTTGACACATAATTCAATATATTTTTCTCCATTATTATTTATGCTACGATGCTGAGACATGGACCAGATGAAACCCTTTTCTTATACAACTCGTCAAAAAAGTTTGATTGAAATCGAACTAGTTTTTATTTATTGCATATTTTTCGACTAATTCCCCCTTAAGGAGAGTGAGGAAATGGAGGCCAACATCTTCCTACAGGGCGAGAGTTCTACAGTCGGAAGAAATACAGAATTTGGCAATATGTTGTATACAATGTTCTAGAGAACATTGTAAAAGACCTCTAGAGAACACTGTATGCATCCCGTATTCAGTGTTCTACTGAGTATTGTATACATTCGAAAATTTGTTGTTTTAAACTTACCCATATATTAGGTCTTTCCGTCATTAACATGTAAGCACTGATGCATTGTAGTAAGTTTCTCCACTCATACTTACTTCTGTTCATCTCACGTCCCTTTATTTCCTTGTCTATTTCATGCAATTCGTCGTCAGTCTGAACTTTCTTCCTTTCCTCAATATATCCTTCCCTGCCGATCATCAGTTATTTCATTACTTACCCCTCTCCCCTCATTCACATCTTCTATTTTTCTCTCTTCTCCTCTCACTAATTCTGTCCCTATCAGTTCAGGTCAATAAACAGATTTTTATCATTAGTGTCGATCCAACGAAAAACTTCGCTTGTCATTCATGTGTTGTGTATTTTTAGAGTCGTTTAAAATATGTCAGTGTCAATGTTTGTAGTCGTGCTGGAGTTCAGCACTGAAATGTGGTGATAAATATATTTTAAGCTTTATCGAGCAATGTGAATCAATCTTAAGTTCTAGTGGCCACTACAAAGCAAAAATCTTGAGCTTTTATTATTCTACGTCTGAATCTGAAAATCAGATAGCTTATGACTGCGCATTTGTATGTCAGAAAGTCTGTGTCTGTGCATCTGTAAATTAAACAGACTACGTCTGTACATATATTGGCCATGTAGGGAATAGCTAAGCACCTTTAGGTTGGAGAGTCTATGTCTGTGCTCCTATAGGTTAGAGGAGTGTCTGTGTCTGTGCACTTGTAGGTTAGAGAGTCTATGTCTGTGCACCTGTAGATCAGAGTGTCTATATCAGTGCACCTGTAGGTTATAGTGTCTATGTCTGTGCACCTGTAGGTTAGAGGTTAGGTTACTATCTAACGTTCTATCTATCTAAGACTTTCTATCTCACGTTCGTATCACTTTGACCTTAGTTCAGACTCATCTTCCTCCTGCATTCACCTCATATTAATTTTATTTCCTTGGCAGGTATTGTTTATTTCTGCCTCATTCATAACTTACTTCCCGCTGATCAATATTGGCTTCCTTACCTCTCATCATACATTATATATTCCCTTTCATTCCCCTCTATTATATCTACTCTCTCTCTCTCTCTCTCTCTCTCTCTCTCTCTCTCTCTCTCTCTCTCTCTCTCTCTCTCTCTCTCTCTCTCTCTCTCTCTCTCTCTCTCTCTCTCTCTCTCTCTCTCTCTCTCTCTCTCTCTCTCTTCTCTCTCTCTCTCTCTCTCTCTCTCTCTCTCTCTCTCTCTCTCTCTCTCTCTCTCTCTCTCTCTCTCTCTCTCTCTCTCTCTCTCTCTCTCTCTCTCTCTCTCTCTCTCTCTCTCTCTCTCTCTCTCTCTCTCTCTCCTCTCTCTCTCTCTCTCTCTCTCTCTCTCTCTCTCTCTCTCTCTCTCTCTCTCTCTCTCTCTCTCTCTCTCTCTCTCTCTCTCTCTCTCTCCTCTCTTCTCTCTCTCTCTCTCTCTCTCTCTCTCTCTCTCTCTCTCTCTCTCTCTCTTCATCCGGGTCTACATTAATAAAGTTTGTCTTTGTTGTTAGTCAAACGAAAAGTCTGGCGCTTCACGTTTTTGTGTTTTATATTTTTTGAGTGATATAAAAAAGCATCGCTAATATATTTGCTTTTGTTGTTGTGCCAGAATTCAACTCCGGAAAATTCAAGCAAATAAAAATGCTGAGCATTAACAAATAGTTGTGTTTCAGACCGTAGTCCAAGTATGTGAAGTAATATTATGTTCTCGATTTAAAAGTAATAATAATAATAATAATAATAATAATAATAATAATAATAATAATAATAATAATAATAATAATAATAATAATAATAATAATAATAATAATAATAATTGCATATGAATCGTGCACTCCAGAAGCAGAATATAGAGCTTCTGTTGCTTAACCAGCTGGTCTGGACGGTAGAGCGACGGACTCGCTTCTTGCAGGTCGGCGTTAAATTCCCGACCGTCCAAGTGATTGAGTACCATTTCTTTCACCCGTCCCACCCCAAACCCTTATATCCAGACCCCTTCCCAGTGCTATATACTCGTAATGGCTTGGCGCTTTCTCCTGATAGATTTCTTCGTTCCTAGATTTTCTGTTATTATGCTCTAAATCTCTTTGTGTTGGTCTGAAGCTATTGAACTGTACGTAAGCGAATCTATGACTGTAATCTGTTTGTCAGGATGTCTGAGGGTCAGATAGTCTGTGAGACGGTGAGATCCGTATTAATTAATCTAGTGCTTGATCTATTTGTTCAATGTTATTGACAAAATAAATCTTTTCAAAAAACAGAGATAGAGGTAAGGATTGACAAATATGTTGAAGAAGGAAAGACCAGTGTTCTAAAGGGATGATATACCTTTAATTTCAAAGTTTTCATTTGTAATTTCAGGAAATAAATCCTCCAAATTGGGTGTAAAGAATGTATGTTGGAAGACGTAGTTAAGTATACAAGAAATTGGGGGGATTCTTGTGGTTTGAAGCTTTAACTCTTTCAACTATCACCACTCAAACTATTCCATTATCTCTTCATCCATCACTACTCTACCCATTTCCCCTTCAACCATCACTACCCTACCCATTACTCCTTCAACCATCCCTACTCTACCCATTACCCCTTCAACCATCACTACCCTACCCATTACTCTTTCAAACATCACTACTCTACCCATTACCCCTTCAACCATCATCACCCTACCCATTACCCCTTCAACCATCACTACTCTACCCATTATCCCTTCAACCATCACTACTCTATCCATTATTCCTTCAACCATCACTACTCTAACCACTACTCCTTCAACCATCACCTCACCCCTTCAAACATCATTGCTTCAGTCTTCACCCCTCCAAGTAATTTGTCTCTCCCATCCATCAATTTCACTTCAGACCTTCAACCCTCTGACTATGATGCTCCAGACGTGAACACCTTCAACCCTCTGACCATGATGCTCCAGACGTGAACACCTTCAACCCTCTGACTATGATGCTCCAGACGTGAACACCTTCAACACTCTGACTATGATGCTCCAGACGTGAACACCTTCAACCCTCTGACCATGATGCTCCAGACGTGAACACCTTCAACCCTCTGACCATGATGCTCCAGACGTGAACACCTTCAACCCTCTGACCATGATGCTCCAGACGTGAACACCTTCAACCCTCTGACTATGATGCTCCAGACGTGAACACCTTCAACACTCTGACCATGATGCTCCAGACGTGAACACCTTCAACACTCTGACCATGATGCTCCAGACGTGAACACCTTCAACCCTCTGACCATGATGCTCCAGACGTGAACACCTTCAACACTCTGACTATGATGCTCCAGACGTGAACACCTTCAACCATTATGTCACCAACAATCACTCCTCCAAACGACAGTTCCCAGACCTTCATTCCTCTTACATCATTCTTTCAACCATTATCCCTCCATACATTACTCCAACTATCATCCCACCAACCATTACTCCAACAATCATCCCTCCAACCATTACTCCAACTATCATCCCGCCAACCATTACTCCAACTATCATCCCTCCAACCATTACTAAAACTATCATCCCACCATCCATTACTCCAACTATCATCCCTCCAACCATTACTCCAACTATCATCCCACCAACCATTACTAAAACTATCATCCCACCATCCATTACTCCAACTATCATCCCACCAACCATTACTAAAACTATCATCCCACCAACCATTACTCCAACTATTATCCCACCAACCATTACTAAAACTATCATCCCACCAACCACTACTAAAACTATCATCCCACCATCCATTACTAAAACTATCATCCCACCAACCATTACTCCAACTATCATCCCACCAACCATTACTAAAACTATCATCCCACCAACCATTACTAAAACTATCATCCCACCAACCATTACTCCAACTATTATCTCACCAACCATTACTAAAACTATCATCCCACCATCCATTACTAAAACTATCATCCCACCAACCATTACTCCAACTATTATCCCACCAACCTCGCTCTAAAGCATTCTTATGCCTGTTATTCTCCTCGGAAATTATTACCTCTGCTTATGTAATCTTCCTCTCCATTATTTCCATCCAATGCGAAACTTCATTTCTATTTCACTTATTACACACAAACCTCTAACCATGACACATCCACCCAGTCTATGTCCAGCCACACAGCTAGCTACCACGTGGTCTGTTACCTATCAAGTAAGTTCCCCGAAAGCCTCATTCCAACGACCATAACTGTCCAACCACCATCTCCATCACCTCTCATAACTCGTTGAGTTTTCTTGACTCAGTCGTCAACTCACCACTAATCTCTCCATCATCCTCTATTACCACTTGCTTCCGTCTTCGCCTCCTCTCAGCTGACCTCATACATGTCTCACTTATGTCTTGTTTTCGTTCCCCTCCCTCCCTCTCTCTCATCTCTCAGTTCCCTCCCACACCTCACACTCCTCTCTCATGCTCATTTAATTTCACTCTCACTGACCACTTACTTTCTTCCATCTCTCTATTCTGTTCCACTGTACTCGTATAACCCTATTCATTTTCTCACGTTTACATGATCTATTTCAATTATTTAGTTTTTTAAATTTTTAACTATTATTTCTTTCTATTTAACTTCCTCATCTTTTTGTATTTCTGATTGACCTCAGGACTCACCTCCATCTTGCCTTCACCCCATACTCACTCCGAAGTTTGTTTTTATGCATTTCGTCATGTTTTATCATTAGGTACTTTCCTGTGGTCAATATTTCTCATGAGTCATGTTACTTCTCCCTCTCCCCTCTATCACATCTTCACTTGGTCTCTCTCCTACTCAATCGTTCTCTTCATTCATTTAAGCCAAGAAATATCAAGTATGTCTGTAGTGTTAATCATAAGAATCCTCACTAAATTTTCTGGCGTGGTGTTTTTAGAGTGATATAAAAAAGTGACACTTATATATTTACTTTAGGAGTATCTGTAGAAAAAGAGGAAGTATTAGTGTTTCTGTAGAAAAAGAGGAAGTATTAGTGTTTCTGTAGAAAAAGAGGAAGTATTAGTGTTTCTGTAGAAAAAGAGGAAGTATTAGTGTTTCTGTAGAAAAAGAGGAAGTATTAGTGTTTCTGTACAAAAAGAGGAAGCATATGATTATCAGTACCGAAATATTATTAATCAGTAAAATGAGATGTATTTGTGTCTCAAACCGTCGTTCTATTAATTGAAATTATTGTATTTGCATATTAAAAAATTAAAATACAGGTAAGTCGTAATTGTAAAACAAGAAATTGGCTTTTGTAATCCTGCCTCTGGAGTTGCATGTCAGTGAGTGTCTGGGCCTCTCGAAGTCAGGTAGTCTGACAGCCGGAGAGTTGAACTTTACTGTTCTTGTTCTACTTTCGCGGTGAAGTTGAACATAAATCAATTTCTTAAACGTAATAAAATACTGATGTTATATTTTGATGAATCTATTAAAGAAGAAAATACCAGTTTACTGAAGGGGTGATTTCTTTGTTTCCCAATTGTCACTGACTATGCCAAAAAATAATTCCTGAAATTTTGGGTAAAGAACGACCTTGAAGAGTTAATTTAATTATTAAAATACATTTTGTATTTATTTCCAGTATTAACGGGTTAGCGTTAATACCGGAAATAAATACAAAATCTCTTCAATAATCACTCCAACATTTCTAACCCGTCAACCGTCTACTATCCAATTATAACAATTCTAACTATCACCTCTCTTATTATAACCCCATCCCTCTAATTGTTACCATTCTAACCATCCCTGTTCCACCCATCACCACTTCAACTATCGCCCTTCCAACCATCACCCCTCCAATAGTTGGAGGGGTGATGGTTGGAGAACCATCACCCCTCCAACCATCACCCCTCCAACCATCACCCCTCCAACCATCACCCCTCCAACCATCACCCCTCCAACCATCACCCCTCCCACCATCACCCCTCCAATAGTTAGAGGGGGTGATGGTTGGAGAACCATCACCCCTCTAACCATCACCCCTCCAACCATCACCCCTCCAACCATCACCCCTCCAACCATCACCCCTCCAATAGTTAGAGGGGGTGATGGTTGGAGAACCATCACCCCTCTAACTATCACCCCTCCAACCATCACCCCTCCAACCATCACCCCTCCAACCATCACCCCCTCCAACCATCACCCCTCCAACCATCACCCCTCCAACCATCATCCCATGAACCATTTCTTGCAACACCATTCCAACTACCTTGCTTCCTTCGTGACTCATTCCAGCATTACCTCCCCAGTTATCACCACTACTGTGATCAACTGAATGACCATCTCACGCTCCAACTGTCATCATTTATACTATCATTCCTTTGCCCGCGATGTAGCCTAAGCTCCCTGATAAACATTTGACTCAAACATTTGTCCCTCGAACCCTCATCCCTATATACCTTACCCCTCCAAGCCTCACCCCTCCAAACCTCACCTCTCAAAACTTCACCCCTCAAAACCCCTTCCATAAAAACCTCACCCTCCAAACCTCGCCCCTCCAAACCTCACCCTTCCTAACCTCACCCCTCCAAACCTCACCCCTTCCAAACCTCACCTCTCCCAACCTCACCCCTCGAAACCTCACTCCTCCAAACACCATGCTTAAAAAAATATCTTCAAACCATCGTTTCCCTTATTCGTCACTTTAATCATTACCATTGTTCATATCATATCTTCACTACTCCGCCAATCATAACATTCCATTCCACTGACTTGCTATCAACGCCCCTACCTCGACACAACCACCCATTGCAAGTCCAACTACCCAGTTAACAAGCATATCTTCTATTAACTATCCTGCCACTGCACCTTAAATACAAAAATTCTAACTCATATAACCATGAGTGTCCAGCCGTCATCTATCTTAACACCGAGTTCTCTTGACTCAGTCCTCCAAACTTCACTACTCTCTCTCTCTATCATCATCTGTTATACATAGTTCTTTCTCATTTTCTTACAGCTGACATTTCTCTTGTTTCATGTTATTCTTCGGGGGTGTTCCATTTGTCTTTAACTTTCTTTCCTCTCTCACCTCTCAGTTCCCTCCCCCGAAACCTCACTCTCCTCTCTCACTCATCTCTCGCTTTTATTCCAGTTATCTCCTTAACCCTATTTGTATCCTCGATTTTATATGACTTAATTCCCTATTTTTTTCAACACACATTTGTATTTTCTCTCTTCATCCTCACTTTCTTTTTACTTTGACCTCTTTTATGACTCACGTCCGCCTGTGTTCACCTCAAGTTGATCTTGGGTTCACCTCAGGTTCACCTTAGGTCACCTTAGGTCACCTTAGGTTCACCTTAGGCTCACCTCAGGTTCACCTTAGGTCACCTTAGGTCACCTTAGGTCACCTTAGGTTCACCTTAGGCTCACCTCAGGTTCACCTTAGGTCACCTTAGGTCACCTTAGGTCACCTTAGGTTCACCTAAGGTCACCTTAAGTTCACTTAAGGTCACCTTAGGTTCTCCTCTGGTTCACCTGTGGTTCACCTCGGGTTCACCTCAGATTCTCCTCTGGTTGACCTCGGGTTCACCTCAGTTTCACCTCAGGTTCACTATGGTTTCTCCTTTGGTGAATCCAAGGAGCATTTGGATTCCTTCACAGTGTGTTTTGGATTTCCTCCTCACTCATAACTTTCTTCCCGCACTGTTAACTTCCCTTCCCTGCCTTTCATCTGCCATTTAATTTCCGTTTTTTCTCACCCCTTTATCACAGCTCTCCTCGTTCTCTTTCTCACTTTCTCTTTCTCCATTCATTCGGGTTAAAAATAGATTGTTTTCCCTCAGTGTTTATCCAACGAAAAATCGGTAACTTGATATTTTTGTGTATTTTATTTTTCCGAGTAAAAAAAAATGTGTCAATTATATATACATAATTCTGAGATTTCTGCAGAAAGAGGAAATATTAATGAGGCCAGAGTCCTGTGGATCAGTATGTCAGTAGGTCTAGCCCTGTGCATCTGTATGTCAGTAGGTCTAGCCCTGTGCATCTGTATGTGAGTAGGTCTAGTCCTGTGCATCTGTATGTCAGTAGGTCTAGTCCTGTGCATCTGTATGTCAGTAGGTCTAGTCCTGTGCATCTGTATGTCAGTAGGTCTAGTCCTGTGCATCTGTTTGTCAGTAGGTCTAGTCCTGTGCATCTGTTTGTCAGTAGGTCTAGTCCTGTGCATCTGTATGTCAGTAGGTCTAGTCCTGTGCATCTGTATGTCAGTAGGTCTAGTCCTGTGCATCTGTATGTCAGTAGGTCTAGTCCTGTGCATCTGTATGTCAGTAGGTCTAGTCCTGTGCATCTGTATGTCAGTAGGTCTAGCCCTGTGCATCTGTATGTCAGTAGGTCTAGCCCTGTGCATCTGTATGTCAGTAGGTCTAGTCCTGTGCATCTGTATGTCAGTAGGTCCAACCACTATTGGACCTACTGATTGCAGCTGGGACCCAGCTGGCTAGCAGCAGCTACACTGGGACGTCAGCTGACATGACGCACATGTCAGGAGGTCATGATGCACATGTCAGGAGGTCATGACCTCGTCATAATTCTACGTTTTACCCGGTTTCTGTCTTCATTATCGTCATTTTGGATTTGGTTAGTATATCTATAGCTCTCATTGGTGCTTTTCTTTTCCTTCTAATTTTTGTTCTGTTTTTATTCTACAGTTCCTTTGTCGCCGAACTATTAGGTAAAACCTGGTTGTGACACCACCTCCAGATTCTCCCAGTGGATTCAGAAGAGTTCTGGGCTGAATACGTTTTATACAATTTTAGTTGAGTGACTTCTGGGAGTCACCAGAACACTGGTTAAAGACCCCACAGTGCTTCAAAAGATTTTCCCATTGATAAATCATGCCGTTGTGATTTCTTTGTGTTTTGAAGAAAGAGCATATGATGGAGAACACTATTACCTATGGACCAGAGTCTAATGGGGCTGTTCGTAAAACCTGGTGGTGACAACAGTTCCAGTGCCCAGACTCGCCATCACCTAATTCACCTAA